AAAATACCTAGTACTAAACTGACAGTATGCAGAATAAGTTCAATGAATAGTCACATATACTTTGACCCAACAATTCCACTTCTATGAAATTATCTAACAATTATGTTCACAAACATATGAAATGAGTTTTGTACCGAGTTATTTATTACAGAATTGCTTTAAATAAGAAAAGGTTGGAAACAACATAAATGTCCATTAAACAGGTACTGGTTAAATAAGTTATGTTATTTCTCCCCTGGCCCGACGTGGCTCAGCGCTTGAGCGTCGACCTAGGATCCAGGTGATCGGGGTTCGATTCCCGGTCAGGGCACATACCCGGTTGCGGACTGCAGCTGATCAATGACTTTCTCATCATTGATGTTTCTGTCTCTCTCTCTCCCTCTCCTTTCCTCTCTCTGAAATCAATATAGATGTATTTAAAAAAAAAAAAAAAAGTTATGTTATTTCTAAGTAATGGAATACTAGGCAAGTGTAAAAATAAATGAGGAAACTGCTTACTGATGTGAAAAGATCCTCAGATGACCTGAGTGTTTTGGCTGATCGGCATTAGCAGGCCTAAAATGAGAGCTCTGTAGTAATTTGTAGTACCCACCACAGATGACTCTTGGATTCACAACATGCAGAATGAAACCTTTTAAAATTGTATTTATTTGATAACACAGATGTGGTAATATTACTAAAGCAATAAAAACTATTTTGTGCCTACATGCTGTTGTGGTATGTAAATACATCTGAAATACATCTATAGTGACACTCCTTATTCAAACTATAAAATATGAAAAATAGGCTCTTTTCTTAGTTTTCCCACAGATAGTACTTATTAAAACCATTCTAAAAGCACAGAGGATGGGTGAAAAAGGTGAAGGGATTAAGCAAATAAGTAAATAAATAAACTCATATAAACAGACAGCAATATGGTGGTTAGCAGAGGAAAATGGGGATGGGAGGAAGTAGAAGAGGGGAGGGGGGAATGAATGGTGGAAGGAAGCTGACTTGGAGTGCTGAACACACAACACAATATATAGGTGATGTATTATAGACTTGTACACCTGAAACCTATGTAATTTTATTAACCAATGTCACCCCAATAAGTTCAATAAAAAGTAAAAAAATAAAATTAAAAATAAAAGTATAGAAAAGAAGCTTTTGTTTTTCCCCACTTACAATAGATGCCTTAACACAGGGTTCTTAAATTTAACAAGCATCAGAATCACCTAGGGGACTTGTTACACCAGATTGCTGGGCGTCCCTCAGACTCCTCACCTTCAAGCCTCATTCTTTAGCACTTGCAAGAGCCAACACCATATATTGTGGAACATCATTACTCATGTCTGTCACCTTTTCAGGTATTTCCACTCTCAGTCTTCTTTCTTAGTGGAAATATCTAGGAAAGGCTTTGATTCAAGACTTCACATTTAATCTTTGGCCTCCTCCCTCCTGTTTTCCAATAATCTCAGGCTTATTGGAAGCTTGTTATTAACCTAACTAAATTCAAGTAAAAATATAAACAGTTTTCTAAAACAAGTAAAATTTACCAACATCATCGACTTGAATCTGCTTTTCTAATCTTATTTTAATAACACATGCCCATTTAACTGCTATTCGGTCACCAACAGTGTTTTTAAGATTAATTTGGAGTTATTTCTGCCAAATGAAACAACGCTGTCCTTTCCATTAGTTATAATGTTCATATGAGTCTATTTAAATTAATTAACCAGATTAACAAACCATAAAATCCAGTATGTTTATAGAGACCCAAAATCTTGTGATGGCTTCTGTTGGAGCCTCTAGACAGAAAACCCCTAATAAGAAAAAGTTTATTATTACTGAACAAGACATGATGAATCCCTTAATAAAAAGAAATTGCTACTTTAAGTTGTAACTAATATTTCTCTTGGCTGCAGTAGAAAATAATTTGCAAAATGATAAGTTGACAAGTCAGACTGAAATAATTAATGAAGATTTAGGGTCATATTTTATTTTCCCTTATGTTCTTCATATCTGTTATTTCAACAGGATTTACATAATGTGGCATTTGAATAATGGAGAATAGAAATCTGGTTGCATTTTAAAACCCTGGCCCACGTGGGAAATGATCTTGGGGCTACACTGTTTATCTAAAATACCTTAACATTCCTTGATATGTCATCATATGTGTAGGTAAATTAAGGTAGATTATTAGGTAATTTTTAAAATCATCTTTGTAGTGGTGGTTTTATTTATGCTTCCTTTGAAACTTCTTTTAACTTAGGAGAAGAAAATTAAGTTGTTGGTAATTGTTAACTAATTTCACACAGTAGCCATCTCTGTAGTATGTAGACCCCACCCCTAGATACTCTTACTCACTTGGTTTTAGGGACAACCCAGAAATCTATTTTAATAGGCGCCAGCAGTGATTCTGATGAAGTGGTCCTTGGGCCTCCGTGTGAGAAGCTGTGAAAGAGAATGCTCTTCCTCAAGCTAATGCACTAAAATTACAAAGGATAAATATTCTAAATACTGCTATAGCCTCCTCCATCCAGCTCGAACCCTGTTTCTATAACCAGATTGACTGACTAGTGATTCTCACCACAACAGTAGTGCTCCAGTTTGGAGCCTTGGAGCATATTTATCATTGTATGGTTGGTGCTTAGTACATTGCTTGGCACACAATAAATACTGTGTCAGTATCTTGGAATGGATGAATGAAGGAGACCCACTAGCTCTGTGTTTAGCATTCCTGTGTTAGCCACACTCCATCCATCTTTTGGGTCACCTGCCTAAATTATGTGTACAGTTTTATCTTCCTCCTTAATTATACATGTATTCCATAGATGGGACCATGTCTTGTCCATTTTCATATCTCTCCTTTTAAAAGTATTTTACACATACATGGTAGTAAATGTTTATTAAGTAATATATATATTATACATATATATATGTATATATATTCTTATTTAATCCATCATATTGGATTCTCATCTCCATGAGGGCAGGCACCCTGCCTCTCTTTTTCACAGCAGTTTTCTCAGAGCTTGGTAGTTACTGAATGCTCAGAAATGTTTGAATGAATGAATAAATTAATAAAATAGTAAGAAACTTTATTTTAATTGAGATTTTAAAAAATTTAATGTTGAGGGTTAATGACCTTTGTGTGTGATAAAATTTATTTTTATGTAAGAGAAAAAAATCACCCTTACCCTTTAAAAAGGAATTCACAGTTGAAATATCCCTACCTTTTACAATAGACAGGATAATAGAATTTGACAGATTCTGAGCTGGGGAAACGTCAACAGGGCTTTATGGTTAACAGAATTTTCTATCTAACTTAGTATTAAACAGCCTTTGTCAGTAATTATGAAAATATCATGGTAATATTAAGTGACAGTCTCTTGACATCTTACGAGATAAAGATGTTTCCCCAGAAAGCTAGAGCTCCTATCAAAATCAGATTGGGTTTTTTTAGTTGAAAATAAGGAAAACAGAAGAATTTTTCAGTATTTGTGAAAGTTTCTGAAATACATTTTATTAGTGTACACTCTTTAGAAATATTCTTACTACATTTTTCAAAACACATTAGTATCAGCAAGTAAGTTAGAGCTCTGAGAAGTATGAAATCTCAAGCTTTATATCCTTGAAGACTGTGCTTAATGATGTAAAATTTCTCTAGATAACTTGAAATGCTTGTTTTATGACCTATGCATACTTTGGTAGTCTTTCATTGAGGAGCTTATGGCCTTCTACAGATTATCACCTTTCCTTTACTTTTAATACCCCCTAAAAGAATATTAATTATTTAAGCATTCCAATTTCTCAAATGATTGTTATTTGAGATTTTACCCTACTGTGAATATTAATCAGCATCTCATATATGGAACATGTTCTTTGACAAGTTTATAAACAGAAGATTACTATGGGTTGATTACATAACGTGTGCTCTACATCTGTGTCACTGTCTCATTTCTGGTTATATCCCAGACCTTCACTTTTTAACTTTTGTGTTAGTCCTCAAAATGATCTCTTTTCCTGAAACAATTGGTTGTGTGTCCTCCTAACTGTGCAGTCTGCAAATAGCACCGAAGTTCTAGCTTCCAGGAGAACATAATTAACAGAATATGGGGAGGTATTGAGAAGAAGCAGCGAGAATTAGGAACTTCCCATTGCTGAGGCATAAAGGAAATGTCACAGTGACTCCAGAGGGATTTAAAGGTGTCAGTCTAATTGTAAACTGTGGCTAGAACTGGTCTTTAAGTCATCCAAAGCCCCCACACAGATTATCCTTAGAGTGTATGTTTCAGATTGATTAATAATGTCCAAATTATCTAAAGATGCTTTTATTTACACCATCTAAAATTGAAAAAGATCACTTGCTCATGTGGAAGAATAAAATTTACTTTCTGCCTGGTAACTGTCCCTGAAAGTATTATTATCCACTTTTCTTTGACAAAGCATCCAGACACGTGACTCCCCTAATTCAAATTTTCAGTCACTTTGTGGATAATTCCACAGGAAGTTCTGCCTCAACAAAAAATTCCAAATACCTGTCTAGAAGCATTTTCATCTCCAGCAGTCCCCTGAACTGTATTTTAAATGGTTGTTCTTAGACATGATTTTGTCCAAGGAAGAGTAGTATTAACTGTTTTCAATTTTTTAAACATGTTTATGATACTGGAAATTTGGAAATTTCATTACCTGTAGAAAAGGAAGGCTCTCATATATTTTTATTCTCTGTCCCCATAGGAGATGACTGTGCTAATGAATGATGTCTTCAAAAGGTTAAATGCACAAATTAGACTCGATATTTTATATAATCCATTAATTTCATTTTAATGTCTGCCCATTTATAGGCCAATAATAAATAAAGGCACGTTACTGAATTTTATTTAACTTGCCTTTATCCTATACATACTTTGTTCTAAAGTAAGATGAAAAATTAATAGTAGTTTAAATACAGTGACTTCCAAACTAGTATTAAGCCATTTTTAAATGAATATTAAATAAACTGCTTTTGTTTGTTTTAGGTGATGGTGTTTGTACATGCTCGAAATGCCACTGTAAGAACAGCTATGTCTCTAATAGAAAAAGCAAAAAACAATGGCCAGATTTCCTGCTTTTTACCTACTCAAGGACCTGAATATGGACATGCAGAAAAACAGGTAGGGGACAAATGACAGCAAGGTACATCAACTAAAGCACACAATGTGCAGATCTACCAGATATTTTATGCATGAAAGATCCATGCTCTCCTATTTCCATGAACTTAATTTTACAGATTTATCATGTTGTAATCTTGACTTTTTTCTTGACTTAATGATCTTTCAAAGGATCCCAGTGCATGATGTGTTCAATTATTACTTCTTTCCAAATGGTTATAAATGTAATGTTTAGTCCTGCTCTTTAAGGTGTAGTTAAAACATAAAGGACAGTTAAATTTTAAAAAATATGTTAACATCTAATATATTTATCATTGTTCTTTTAAAGAAATAATTGATAATTTTTTTAATTTCTCACTTTTAATTTCTTGGGTTAGTATGGACAAACAAAAGGCTTTTTGAGAATATAGAAGTTTGAGACCAAAAAGTTTAAGAACTGTGTTGCTCCTCAGCATATGCTCAAAGGACCTAAAAAACAAAGTTCCTCATTAGAAATGCAGAACCTCAGGCTCCACTTTAGTCTTACCAAATTATAATCTGCATTTGAACTTGCTCCCTAGGTGATTTTGTGGACATTACAGTTTGAGAAGTACTTCTCTAGGTAATTTGGGAATCCTAAGACTTATAGAAAGTCATATTTAATTATATCAAATAATGGTTTAAGACAACAGTGAGCAAACTGTAGTCCAAGGGCCAAAGGCAGTCCCTGTTTCTGTAATTAAAGTTCTGTTAGAAAACAGCCAGGCCCTGTTCTTTTGTCTATAGCTGCTTTTTGCACAAGGGAAGAATTGAATACTTGCTTTGGGGACTCTGGTCTACAAAGCTGAAAATACTCCATGACCCTTAGCAGAAAAAGTTGGTCTTGATTTATAGCTATGAAAATAAATTTTCAAGTAAAAAACTCTGAGCATAAAATGATAGTAACTTCACTATTTTATATGCATGATTTATGCAGTTGCTAGCTGCCAGACATTGTTCTGTGTGCTTTCACATTTATCGATCAGTAAAATATATTTAATTGTTATGATTGCACTGTAAATTTTACCACTTTTATTGATATTATAAATTCTGAATACGATAATCTGATGCCAGTTTTTGTGACTGTCAGATTCTCTTTTAATTTAAAGCTACAAAATATATTAATTTCCTTCTTTTTTTCACATTACAAAATTTTCTATGATATACCACTTATTATACACTTTGTATTCTTCCAGTTATATATTAATTATGAATTTATGAGTCTTTGAAAAGTCAGGTTGGTATTTATAAGTCTTATTTCCTTTCTTTGGAAATACAAAGCAAGTTTATTGTGTTTAAAAGCCAAGCCTTGAGAGCCACCTTGTGGATGTCTGGTTATTTTATAGCTCTCAATTCTGAGAGCTATTGCTATTCTAAATAAAGCAGGTTTATTATTTAATTATTATTATTATATTTATCACGTGTTCACTAGTGCCAAGAATCATTTTTATTACTTTATATAACTCACTTAGTTCTCACAGCAACCTGTGGTGTAGGTTTGTATTATAATCCCTTGATATGGCACATATGTAAAGTAATTAAAATAAAGCATGAAATATTCTAAAGCATATAGGAATAATTTAGAGACTTTTTCAAATAATTATCTGAGACAACCTCATCGAATACAGATGCACAGATCACTATGCTGAAAAACCATGGAGAAATGGAAAGTTTTAATGCAGTTGGGTAGATTTGAAAATCATTAGTTATTTTTATTATATCTTTTTTTGGTATTTTATTGAACTTGATTTTTATTCTGATTCAGTGGTTGTTATTGGATTTTTTAACAAGAATGAATTCCACAAACATTTATTAATAAACACAGGAACATTGTTCTGTTCCCCATTGTATTCCCAGCCTTTTATGCAGTGTTTGGCTGATAGTAGGTACCCCAAGATTACTTCTACTTTTTGCCTTTGTACTTCTGAGACAAACATTATAAGAGATGTTCTCACTTTAATTTTCTCATGATCAGCACCACTGTTGTTTCTTTAAGATTCTTATCCCCATTCTACAGATAAGGAAACAAACCGGAGAGGGAATAATTTTCCTGGACTCCCATGGAGTGAGCAGGGCAGCCAGGATGTGAGCGAGTCTGACTCCAAAGTCCACCCTTTTCATCACATGTGTCTTATTTGTTCAAAAGCAAACAGGTAGAGTCAGTCTGGGTGTTTCTAAGGCCTTGAGGGCTTTGAGTCTTTTTTTTTCTTTTTTTTTTTTAATAAACTGGAAGAACATTTCTTCAGCCCAACCATATTCCCCATTTGCCTTAAGAGATTAAAAAAAGCTGGCCCCTCCACAGTGGATATTTTTTTATAACAAAAGATAAGGTAATCTTTCTGAATGTTTTCTCAAAGCTTCAGAATTTTAGATTATTATTCTAGTTCTGGTGTATATTTCTTCCTATTTCTTGAAGTACCTTTTGAACTTGAATGGGATTAACATCTAGCAATTCTAAGGAAGCTATTACCATGATGGTAGGAGATGTTTCTTCCCACATTTTTAAAAATGGGAAATTAAGTACTCAGAACATTAAAATAAAATTAGAAGGTACATTTGGTATGGTCACACACGGAAATTTAGCCTCATGAGTCCTGTTAATGGAAATATAACTAAATCCCTACCGAGTCACAGTGATACTTCACCCCTGCAGTTTATTGTAACCATCTCAATTCCTGGCTTACCAAATATGATTTTTAAAGCTTTTCTTCACAGTTTTATTCAACACACTCTAACTTTATTTGTATAAATAATAAAAGCTACATTAAGGAAATAGAAATGCTCCTTCTCTCCCCACCCCTCTTTCTCTCACTCTGTGTGTGTGTGTGTGTGTGTGTATGTAATAAGCTATTTCTGTGCTTTAACCACAGCTCAAATGAGTCTTTTCTTCCCAGTAAGTAAAAATTATACTTCAGGACTCCTCATATCATTCTCCTCTTTAATATCAGTCAACCCCACCTGAAAAACCTACCATATTTTCATATTGTCCACTGAAACATGAAAATAGGGAAAGGAAAATGAATTACCTAGAAGTAGCTTAACCTGTAGAGATGAAGTGTCTCAGGAATTCCAGATGAGGCCGTTAGCAGAAAGCTCTGATTGGGACTCCACCCTTAGAAGCGCTGTGGCCTTAAACACCTAAACATTTTGGAAACTTACTTTCTCTTCTATTGAATGGAATAACAGTGGGATAAATAACACCTATTCTAGCAGTTTACTATGAGAAACAAATGGAGTGATACATGAAATTATTTTGGAAAGTGGCTGAATAATGATATAACTTTACATATTATATTATGGAAATCTACTTTTAGAATATGTATTAATAACTAAAGTGGTGAAGGGATAGTGAGGAATATGGAAACATTTTCCTAAATCTCAAGAAACCACAGTTTTCTGTAAAATAGAACATACCTCAGGGAAAAGTAGCAGCTGGCATTTACAGAAGTAAGTATATAAGTTGAATGAATGTTCATTTGAGATCTTAGTCATATAAATTTTTATCCTTAGGTATAAAATTTTTAACAGACTTTAAATATACTAGTGCAGATATGATTATTTCCATTTTCCCACCCACCACTATACTGTATTTCTCTGATTTATGGGCACTAATGTGGCTTAATGTTGTACATGTATTAAGATATTAAGAGATTTTCTTTTAGATGGATATGGTCAATCATGCAGTAAGCCTTATGAATGTAATTAGTGGAAGTATCTGTTAAACAAATTAGGACACTGGGAAAAATCCAGTAATAATAGGTATCCTCAAAGCTACCGTAAAGTATTATTGAATGACTTTCTATTATCTGGATCTACCAACCATCTTCTTGTTTTCATAGATGAGCTTTCACCTTTGCCTAATAGTGGAATCTGGCTTTTCCACAAGTTGTCTGATTTCTTTATTTCTGCTTTACAGTGTCAGTATGGCTAAATAATATTAGAACTTCTTCCTGAAATAGATGATACCTATTAGGTAAAGACTGTAGCAGGTGTCTAATAGCCCCTGTCTCTTTTTTTTTTTTTCTTAAAATATATGCAAAATGTTATCTTCTCAGAGGTTATTCTTTCTTTAACCAGATCAACCTTTTCTTTTGGGAGGCTAATATAGTCTGTTGTAATCACACAGAAATAATGTCAAAAGAGCAATATTATTTTAAAAAGGAAATTAATAAAAAATAGAACTGTGTTTTTAATTGGACTTTTGGAAGCATGACTTTTCTGTTTTCAAAGGGAAGTAATCTCATAGAATAAAGGTTGTGGATCCAGGCAAAGCTGGGTATTGTTCTTGGCTCAGATGCTCATAACATAGCCTTTTAGATTTCTCAAGCCAAAATTTAGTCCCATACAAAGTGGCAATGACATCTGTATTTTAAGAGTTTTGTAATAAATGAAGTAACATAGATCTTGCCTGACACATAGTAGGCACTCTGTAAATAGTTACATATAAGCTTTGAAGGAAAGGAGATGACAGCTTTCAAGAATGAGAGCTGTGACCACAATAAGATTACAGCTTTTGGACAACAAAATATAGTATACTGAATTGAAAAAGACAGTAAACAGTTTGGGAGAAATATCAGTAACTGATACAAAGAGACTAATTAATATCTACATCTTTAGATGTGCTCTGATTTAATAACTAAAACATGAAAATTGTAAGTAAATGAGCAAAAAGAAGAATCAAACTAGGTAAACTATAGAAGAAAAAATTATCAGGTAAAGTTGTATAAATAATAGACTATATACTCTTAAACACACTAAATCATCAAAACTGAAATGATAATGGCCAGTTCTGAAGATGTTTTGAGGATTTGGCACAGGCTTCCATTTCCAGTACAAAGGCCAGTACAGTCATTTTAAAAACAGTTTGGTATATATTTTAAGAGTCAAACTTTTTTTACAGTCTTTAACTTTGAAATCCTAAACCTGGGAATCTTTTCAAGGAAACATTAAAAGAAAAGTTAACATATATCAAGAGTTCTGTTCCA